TACAATATATGCCAGATAGACTGCCATGGTGGGGATCACCCAAAAAATGTTTTGTTTACAGTACATATTTCAGTGTTTTCTTGAAATATGGATCCATCGCAGGCACCCAATTTTTTGGGCGACCCTTAGCTCCTCTAGCTGTTGCTTTCCTTCTTCCTTTTGGTCACCCGGTGCCGCCGGACGTTTGCGTGGGCTTCCCGTGCCTCTTGTAGCTTCATCTGGTGCATTCTCTTCGAACTCGCGCCACTTGGGGTCCAGGACTCCGCCGCCTTGGCTTCCGCCTCCAGCACCCTGGCGCGCACGCTGGGCGATGAGGCGGGCTGTCCGGTCGAAAAAGGGTTTTCCAGGAAAACGATGGAAAGGGTGCCTCGCCCCAGATGGCGTTTTGTTTGGTAGAAAGATTTACGCTCGGATGGGTTTGGCAGTTGCACATGTGATCAACATGAGTTTCTACATGTTTTTACATGTTATTACCTTGGTTTGACCCTGGGACTCCGGCCCAAAATAATATTTGGATATATTTGAGGTTTCTGACTTTTGGTGTTTGAGTCTCTTTAACGCCCGGAACCCGACATTTTTTGAGACGCATTAGGGACGAGGGGTTGCTTCACTGAGGGTCTCAGGGGGACCCAACAGTATTGAGAGCTTTCAGCGGGTTCCATTTTGGATGACCATAATCTAGACATCGCCCAAATGCGCAGAGAAAGGTTTCAACATCAACCCAATCAGATGGGGTACAGATGATCACTTTAATTACTGGAACAGATAGCGGTAACACATGCGATGACATTTTGTGAGAAAGTTTCCATTGGCCAGCTCCCCCAATCAGATCAAAGAAGATGAATCATTGATCATCGAGGTTGACCGGCGATCCTTTTTTTCGAGCTCACGGGTTCTGGGAAAAGCTGAACAAACACGAGATCTGGGTCGATGAATGCATTCAACCCCCAAAGAAAGCCCGTACATCGAACGTCCCGTTCGACTCGACCCCGGTCGCGACGCGACGAGCGCATGTCGACGCTGACCTCGTCCCGAGATACGGCGAGCGTCGGGTGTTCGACTCGTTGGGTGTGAATCTGTGGATCAGACGGATTTCAACGAGCATTTGACAAAAACTTCCGATAGGGCCTTGACCCCAAAAACATCTTAACAGAGACACCATTAGGGACTGCCACTCCGCTGATATTCATGTGTCTTTTTGGTTCGCATCTCAAATTCGTCACATGCTGAAGCCTCATGATTGCGTCATGTGATTCCAGGGACAGAAGTTCACTAGGCCGTCGCAAGCACAGCCTGGTGCCGTTCCTATCGTCATCTTTTTCTGGATCGTTCCATAGGGCGATCTGGGGCCATCTGAGGCATTGGTTTGATGTTTGTTGCCCCCCCAAATATCCACCTTCATTGGAGCTACTCTACTTTGGACCGCTGAGCTTCGGCGCACGCAGGCGGCCTGGCGGGAGGCCGTCTTAGAAAGGGCCAGGTGCGCAGGTGCGCAGGCGCCGCGAGCGGGGCAGCAGGGGGTGCTTGCATGTATTGGAGATTCTGAGTTGCGTTCTGAGGTGCTATGGTACTAGGGTAGTTACTAGGGTATAACTGACTGATTTGCCAGATAGGCGTCTCTACTATATACATACATCATCATACATTTGGGCTAGAAATCGCCGGTACCTAGATCACCAAATCAGTTGTAATTTCAACTTACGATGGAAATCAGCACTGATTTCTGATTCTTGGCAAGATTTCGCTTGCCAACGGATATTATCGCATTCTACGGATATTATCGTCCATGGATGTCCTTTATATGACTTCCCGAAATTTCCCGAAAAGTAGTGCTGGACTTCCCGAAAAATTGTGTTTCTAAACTTGAACTGGTTTGAGTTTGAGTTGCAAATATATATCAAATATATCAACCATGCATGCAATCCCATGCATGATATGTCATCAAAGTAAACCGCCCCTTCCTGATGCAATTCTTTTCCACTGCGCTCCCCTGCAGTAGCACACCTTCGAAGAGCTTCGGCCATTTAACGGCAGCTCCAACAAACCCGTACCTGTGCCAGGTACCTCTGTAGTGCCCGCAATGTTTGGTTGCGCGCTGACACGCACCTTGTAAGGAACGCTGTGCGGCCCACGAAATCTTCTTCCTGCATGCATGCGTCACACAGGATGTTCCAGCAAAAGCCTGCCTTTCCACATTGAAATGACAGCTCTTCCAAAAGCTCCTGCACCATGTGGTACTTGGGAACCATCGGAAAATAGGTCTTCCCATGTAAAAGGCTTCTGTGGCCCAAGTACTGGTAGGCCTGCAAGAAATGGTATGCGCCCCTGATTAGAGGCTCGGCACGGTGCTTTGGAATCCAAATCTCTTCTTTGAACAAGCCACTGAAAAAACAGTTCATCGCCCTGGTGGCAGAAGCCTCGGCTCATTGTGCGACATGGAGTGCACTGAAAACATAATTTGCCCCTCATCTATATATAGCTGCAATGACTCTTGGAAGGGAAGCAACGTAAAGATAACGTAAAGCATCAACCCTTGCGAACACCTGGTATGATCCAAGCAACAACAAACTGAAGATCTTGGTGAGCTTCACAAGTGGCCGCATGCTTCTGGCAGAACGATTCTAACCACTCCATGAGGGTGGCCGTCACATGAGCCTTATTCCAGCTTCCGCTTGGCTCAGGGCCCTTCAAATTGAAGGTGTGGGCGTCAAGCTTCTTCAGGTACTTGTTCTTCTTGTGCTCCGCGCACCAATCTGAAAAATCGGCGTTGAGCACTTCGAGTCTTTTATCGACCGATGACTCTCCAGTCACGTATTGAATCAGGCTCACGCATCCGGCCAGCCAGCTCTTTCCGATGCCCATGTGGAAAGAATGCCACACATCGATCCGATGAAACCTCTGAAGGCCGCCCGGGCTCTCATCGTGGATCAGCCTTGCCCATGGAGGTTCATCCTCCCATGGAAATGGACAGCCGTGAAGTCTGGCATGCCGGATCAACCTCTGTGATGTTTTCCTGAAAGCGTCGCAATGGCTGAACACCACAAAGACATGATCAAACCAGATCTGTGTATGTAGAAAACCTTGGACAACTTGACTTCGCCCTCAAGGGGTATAGGGGAAAAAGAAGCAAAGCGTATATGCACAGAAAGCTCTGCAAGATTCAGGTCTTCCCAATCTCCCTCCTTGGTGCCTCCCATGCACAGATGGCATATACCTGGTGGATTGTCCATAAACTTTTTGGCCTGCTGGGCTCCTCGTGGGGCTCGCCGGTACGACCTCTGAAGTTTCGCCGATTGTACCTGAAGAGCGGAGACATTCAAAAATCTCAAGGCTCTTATTCCTTATCATGCAATAAAACAATAACCCCCTTGATCTCAAAAACTAACGCACAAAATTTAAGAGGTGTAGCCAGGGAACCAAGTATGACCAGTCGCCTTTGTTGCCTAAAAGTATGGGATACACAGTGCCCTCACACTGACCCGGCATCCGAATCCCTTCACTCTCGAGGCGCTGCCAATCGTCAACTACCATGTCAATGACCTGGTCAAAAACTGCCGGATCATCTTGGTACATCTCCTATAGGGGGCAGGGGCATACATCAACACCTGGAGAATTTAGATTGAAAAATTGTTGCCACACCGTGTCGTTGAACCAATGAACCAAGGTCCTTGGGGCAAATAACGCTCAGAAACCTCCTTTGCATTGCATTGGTGAGCAGGTTCATGGGAATACCTGAATCTTCAAGATGCTTGTACCATTCATCATCGGCCCTATTGTGCCTGCTGCCATGCCCAATCACACCAGCAAACTGGATAATGAGGACGCCGTTTCGTTTGTATGTGGTTCCTTCGTCTCCATGTACCAACAGCGGCAACAATTGGCAAGGTTTGATGGTTCCAGCTGAATCCTTGATCTTCTTGAAGACCCCATGCGATGGGAACAGCATCTGAAACTTCGCCCAAAAGCTCTCAAGAGCCTGCTGTGCGGCTGCGATCGTTGGGCTTCCGCCAAGAAGTAATCTTAGATCCCCTGTATCGCTCATGGCTTTGAGCAGGTTCGATGGACGAATCCAAGGAAATTCTGTGCACTCTCCAACATGGCTGTAGCTGAGCTCCACGGGATACACCATGCCAAACTTGGAGAAAACTCGGGACACACCCTCTTCCTTACGTGGTGCGTTCTTGTGGTTATACCCTCCAACATGTTTGTGTTTTTTTTTTTAAAAAATTACATCCATGTACACTCCCATATATACAGTTCAGATCGACAAAATAAAGGTCCACAAGCATTGATGAAGATCCAAGCCTGAGAAACGGCTTTGTGTTCTGCGATGGCATGCAAGGCCTTGAGAACTGGACAGCAAGCGGCATCGCTGCCTTCGTCGGCTCGATCATGAACATCTGCTTTTGCAGATCTAACAATATCGGCGCAAGCTTCCTCACAGAAAGCGGTATACCATGCAAGCACTCAAACATACTGAAACTCTGTAGATTCTTGACCCAGGTAAACTGGAAATATATAATGGTATAGAGTCTTCAATGTCACTCCGAACTTCGAAAGATTGGAAGACTGTTCAAGTCTTAAGTGGAACTCTGATCGCATATATATATATATATCAGTGCTTGATAGTTTGAGAAGCCTTCAACATGCATGCATGCATGCATGCAGTCATATAAAAAAGATAGTCTTTCGAAGACATCTCTATTTTTGAGTCAGTTTAGCCATGCGAAGTGCAGCGGCATGCGGCCTAGCATCCCCTCGGCCATACTTCCACGCCAAGAGCTCAGCTTTTCGAGATGGACCTGGCAATATGGCTTCTAGAGCACTCATCCGAGTATAGAAGCACAACAGGAGCAGACTGAGCTTCGATCCTTCGATCAGTTTGTTTTTGTTTCTTTCGACCCACATTCGATCACAGTCGCTTTAACGCTTGTGTTTTTTCACCTTCGCATTGTTCTTGACCCCTGCATGGTTTGAGACACATGCAAACCCTTCAAAGAGCAAAGGTGTTCTACACCTTCTATGGATCCCAAGTAAGATAGATCCCAACCAAGTATGATTCAAACTTAGAAACGCCTTGCACTTTGTGCAGGAAAGCCCGCACAGCATATAGATCACATTCTTGATCCGTTGTGCGTTCAGGCTTTCTTTGATCTTCTGCGCTTGCGAGGTGCAGCCGGGGGCTCAGCATCGTCCGATGATTTTGCTTTCCCCGAATTACCCTTGGCCTTTGCCTTAGCAGTTGCCTTAGCAGTTCCCTTAGCAGTTCCCTTAGAGTTGGTAGCCTTGTCGGCCTTGCTAGCTTTGCCCTTACTCTTTTTGGCCTTGCTTTGCTTCGCGCACTCCTTTTTGATTTGCCTTAGACATCGATCAAGAAATATACTTAAAGTTGTTGTTCCCTTGCACATGCAATAAGATGCAAAAAGCACATTCCAAGCTCGCACATGCATTGACACATGCTATGCCGGCGAGTTGCTTGTACTCTGCATCATAAGTGAGAAGCTCCACACACCTTTGATTTTGGCGCTTCACCACACAGATCCATTAATTGCAGCATACATTCACAGCACGCAAGATGCGAGTATCTACATTCACTATATAGTCATGCGTAAAGCGCTCCAAGCCATTTGTCCTCCAAGGAACGGTGCCTTCACCTTGCCCTTCTCAGTCTCGATAGCGTCCACCAGCCTTAATTGGATCCAGTACAGGCCAATGTCCGCAAGTTCAAAAAATACAAGTACATCATGGAAATGCATCACATGAACCACGAAAACCTCACAGTAAACAACACTCACTTTGCTGCCTTTTCTTGTGTGGAAGGTTGGCAACATCAGAGCATGTACATGGCATCAACGCACGCATGGCAACTAAGCACTGCCATACCCCATCAGCAATGGAGCATTACTTGGCCTGCGGAAAGAGCGGAAAACGTAGTACACTAGGAACGGCCCATCTTCGCTCTGAACAACGCCCTCACCGCCATCCCTCTCATTCTTGCAACCTTGCATGCCTAAGTTGATGTAAGGGGCACAGATACAACTGCAACATGTCGCAGATCATGGACAACATACGAACTACTGTATATATACAGTATAGCACACGTGCAGACAGGGTACCCATAAAGCGCTGAATCATGGCTGCTTCCACGAAACTTGCAGAGACTGTATCTGGGGAAGCGTAGACTACTACCATGCCCTCCCAGCGGTTTCTCCATTCTGTGCAGTATCCATACTTTGAGTTGTAGAACCTGCAATAGGCATCGTGGGTGTAGCCTATTTTATATGTCATAGGCGAGGCTCTCTCCAAATGACGTTCCACCACACTATAGCTGTGTTTGAGCACATGACCTGGAAGAGCGCCTTTCGCTGGAAGACAGTAGTCTAACTTTGCATCAGCTTCAATCTTTTCAAAACAATCTCTCGTTCTTGGAAGCATCAAAAGGCAAGGTCCCAGAACATCGGCGAAAGCTTTACTCCTCCGGCAGACAG